AAACTTCTCTCATTAATTGGTTCGTTTTCTGATTGCCTATTTTCTTTTTTCTTTTTTTTTTTTTTTTGGTTATAAGATCGATCGATAACTTATTGGAATTGCTTTTTTTTTTCTTTTCTCTTCGACGTCCTTATTGTTTTTCGTATATATATATATGTGTATGTATATGTGTATATATCCAATAACGATCAATAAGTTGCCTATCAACTTATAAGTAAATAATTGAAGGAAAATAACAAGGAAGATGTCCTTCTTTTTTTTTTTTAATAAAATGTATATGTAATATCGATATTAAATTCTTATAATCAATTCCTATCTTATTATATTTTATTATCATATTTCCTATCTATATCACACTACCAATGCATTTTTTGCATATTCAACAACTATCCAATTCTGTTTCGGGTAATTTTTTTTTTCTTCAGGTCAAAGAAATATAATATGAAAAAATAACTTTTGTAATTAGAAATAAAAATTAAAAAGAAAATGGAAGTGTTAGTTTTATTGCTATTTCAATAGAATGCATATAACGTTTATTTTTATTAAAAAAAAAATAACGAAAAAAAAGAGAAAAAAATACAATCAAAAATATTTTTATTAGGAAAATTAATTTTAAACCTACTTAACTTTGTTTTAAAATATCATAAAATTTATTTGACTTGTTATTAATTAAACTAAAAGAATAGAATTCATTTGTAATACTATGATACTTAATTAAATCGAATGATGAATAAAATGAATGTTTATCGTGAAAAATTCACAAGAAAAACTTCAACAATTTTGAAAAAACTTCGACGCAAAATTTTTTGATAAATTTCGAAATATCAAAAAAGAAAAATAAAAGTTCTGAATGGAAATGTAATAATATAAAAAAAAAGAAAAAAAAGATGAACCGCTTTCCAGATGAATTGAAAGATGACTAATTGATGCAACACTGATGAACGCTTGCAATTTATACCACATTTTCTAAGATATATGCAAATTTTGGCAGAGAAAAAATCGAACAATGATAAGAATTCTGATAATGTATGGTAAAAAGAATCATTTGAAGTTTACTTTTATTAACCTTCACTTTGTACCTAAGTTAATTCCATAGCAATGAATGCTATAATTCATTTTTATACTTTTCATTTTCAATATTTACCTTTAATGCGCAGTAATGATCAAAATATATCAATCGTATGAAAATGATAATGTTGGCTTAGCTTCTCTGGCTTAATATTTGTCATTTTTAAATTGTCACATCTTAAAAAGATATATAAGTTCAAAAGAATTACTCATAAACTTCTAGGGTATTCAGAAGTATTTTTATTACAGCTTGTGTACCACTGTAAAGTGTTACGTGTCACCTTTCGGCTGTATTAGCAATATGAAGATCGTTAAAGAAAATTGTCCCACAACGTCACATTCATGATTAGTCTTATTGATCCTTCGTAAACGATGATTATGCTGAAATTTTCTTTAATTTTATTTGCAATGTCATTAAAGTTATTGCTTACGGAGTTCATGCAAACAAAAATAAATGTATTTATCTGACACACTTACAAACTTCATTGAAATCCGGCAAACAATCATGTTTTAGCAAATTTTTGGAAATAATCAGTCAAAAGAAAGAATAGTCGAATACAAATAAGTGAGTACTAATTGCATTTGACATGCGAAGTGACAAATCTATCAACATTAGTTTATTAGACAGCTTAGTATTAATGGAATGAAGCTATTATCACAATTAATTCCAAAAAACTGATAGTAGTAACGGTTGAGAAAATTTAAAAATGGAAGTAACTTTGAGTATTAAGAGAAAAGTAGCAACGTTACGTTAATAAACAGCATATTAATTGCTCCCAAATCTGAAATTCATTAAAAATCTGTTCGCAAAAAACCCATTCAGGATAATATGTAACATACGGTCTCACATCCTTATACAGACGTCATACATATCTAACAGTTCTGGTGATATCCAGAAATCGTTCAGGAAAATTAACATATCACAATGAATACCTCACAAAAAGTATTAAATTACAGCATCTATTAATAATTTTTTATTTCAAATGGAATCATCCTTAAAAGAAACGAAAGAAAGACATCTTAAAGTAAATATGTACTTTTGCCGGCAGTAATTCATCGGATTTGTCCTTCTGAATCAAACTGCCAACCTAATTTTTCCATCGATTTGTCTAAAAAATGAGATTAAATTAAAATTACGGAAAGATTATTAAATGCAACCATAAACTTAAAATCTGTAATTCTACATTAGTCCTACATTAACATAAATTTCACATTTATTATTTATATCCTCGTATATATGAAACTTCAGAAAAACTCGAAATAAAAAAACATTATAACAAGTGTAGTTTTCAGTATTAAGAAAAAAATTAAAAAAATAATTACATACAACATTATTCAAGGCGTTCAATGCTTTATAAGCTTCTATTGTATGTGGTGTTAGCTTGGCTAGAAATGCACTCAAAGCAACTCGATCTTTTTGCGCTACCAAGCATTCGATTGTTATTTCAGATGCTTCTGGAAACTGGTTTGCAAGGCACTGACGCTCGCTTATATCCGGAACGGCGCGCAAAAGCTTACATAAGATCTGTAAAAAAAAATAATACTGAAATAATTCTAAAGGCAATTAGGCCTTAATTTTCTACAAATTCCTTACAAGTTTATGGTCTTTTGCAAAATATTTTTCGCAAAAATTCCCCTTCTAAAAAAATTTACAAACCCAATACTAAATTTAAGTTTCATAAAATAATTTAATTTATGCAGATTTTGGTGAAGAAAGAAAGAAAAAATATAGACGAAAATAATAATAATAATCTCATACTTCCTTTGGTGGCCGCTCATCGCGTGAAATGATGGTAAATAAATGGCGCCAAGCAAAAGGACAGTGAATTTTGACACCACCCAATAATTTTTTGCTCATCAATACCCTTTCAATGTCATTCCATCTGGAACGAGCTTTTTTTTGTTGTTCTTCGTGTCACTTAATTTACATTGGCATCACTTCTCCCGGCTAGATTCTTTCATTTTCATACTCTCTCCTCGTTATAGGAATTGTAAGAAAGAAACTTTCTGCTGCTGTATTGAAATGTATATCATAGCGTACTGCAGTAAAGAAACAAGGTATGTCATCTTGAAATATTTTAAATTAGAAATAATAAATAATGGATGTAGACAAATAAATGACTATACCTGGTTTAATATAGGTATCAGTAATTCAACAACAATAATGGAATAACCTTAATGCTTGGCAATTTATGAATCATAATTAACAAAAGAAAAAACATCATCCAGACCTTTTCAAACTGGTTAACGCCGATATTGCCATCCATGCATACTGTTTTTCAGTTATATTGAAGCATTCTTTTATGGATAATGGACTAGCATAAGCATTCTGCAAACAAATTTTTAGTCTAGAAAATTAACTACTGCTAATTCATGATGTTGAATTCATTCTGTTCGTAAAAATTTTCGACATTTCTGACGAAATCATATTCTCATTCATCTCTAAATCTCTGGTTAAATGCAAGGAAACTTGATTTAATTCAGTCCCTTCCTCACCCCACTTCCTCATCACTTCAAACTGATAATTCATTTCTGTTAGTTGTATTTAACTGCAAGTAATTCCTACAAAATTTTTCGTGCTACGACCAAATTATGATGGACAGAAGTATGGGTCGATCATCAGCATGACTTGTTTTACAAGTAAATGTAATGATGATATTCTCACTTTATAAACTACTACAGGGAATATTACACTAAGGGTGACAAAAGTTTCTTCAAAAGCTTTATTTTTTTAACTTCACTTAAAGTTGATTTATGCAAACTTTATTATTTAGTGATAATATTGCTGTCGAGTACTCCTCATGTCAATATCGGTGACGTGCTGAGAGTTGCGACAAGAGGCTCCGCTCTTCTCAAACTCTATCATTCTCCATGGAAACGGTAGTGGTTAGCATTACTTAGTTTTTCAAAGTTTAATTTTGGAAAAGAGAGATTAAAATACCACGGGAAGATCAAAATGATACAGGCAAGAATAATACAGTGTCGTCAGAACTGGTCGTCCAATTAAAGTAATTGTTTTGGGGTACTGCTGAAAGATTTTATTTTTTCCGTCTTTGTCGTCTTTGATAAGTGCTTCATCAGCATCCTAAATAGCCATAACATTTTTAAGGAAGAAGAATCATTATGAAAAGGTATTTCTAGTATTATGTCACTGTCATATAACATATAACCAAAACGAAAAAAAGGTATTTTACTCAAAACTATCATTAAATTCCTTACTTCAATTACAATTTGTCGTTCCAGAAGATTGATGTATTCATTCACAGATTTCGAAAAAGCTTCCAGTGATGGAACTGCAGTACATACATTTAAACATTTTTTTAAATGCGCGATTCTTTCGTTTGGTTGTTTCTTACAGGCTACTGAGTACAATACAAGCGCGACTTCTTCTGTACGATTCAAAGCTCTGAAAAGAACTTTTTTTTTTAAACTTGCTGGTAAACTACAAAAGAAAGTATGTAAAATCTACCTCCCTTTCTTCACATTTTTTTGAAAATGAAAAAGAAAAAGAGGACAACAGGAAGAATCTGATGACTTTATTCTGAAAATTTCACGTTTTAAGTGGTGAATTCCTTATTGTTCACCAGTACAGATATTAAAAATTTTACATTCTACGGAACGTCAAAGCATAATGAAGCGCATAATGAAGATTAACCATAACACCTCATAAGATTCATTTGATAAACAATGGTTTATTAAATGGTAGCAAAAAAAGAGCTCGTAAATCACATAGGAGAAAACTGAGAAATAGTACACATTACAAAATCCAGACGTAAAAATAAGTAAGAACTTACAGTAATGTTGAAGTAAGTTGATCAAAATTCTTCGTATCTTTCAGGTAAGCTACATAATGACAGGCAGCAACTGGCTTTTGCTTCAAGATATCCAAAAATATCGAAGTTTCAAGAGACCTTTCCAAGGCTAGTACGACCTGGACATAAATTTGAATGCTAAATCTACAGATGCTTAAAACAATAAGGGACAAAAGCTTACAGCAATTCACTACAAGCACATAACAAAGTTATAGGATAAACAGGTTGTCAAATTCATAAAACACCTAAGGATAAAGCTTTCCGACAGAACCCTGAAAGAGATACATTTATGAACACTTTTAAATGTTAAACATATCAACTTTAAAAAATCTGTGGTTTAAGCAAATAAATGAATACCAAGCAATAATTCCTAATCATTATGATCGCCAAAAGCAATAGGTTTAATTTTATCTGTCACAATGGACAAACTATGAGCGTTAACTATTACGCCAATAAGTCCCAAAATTTACCATAGCAATCAAAGCTGCAACTCTCGACAACTTTAAAAGAAAAAAAAACTAAATTGGTAGAACTTCTAGCCAGTTATCAATAACATCCAAAATTTATTCAGGCGCAATAATGCAGAAAAGATATGTAGACAGACATGATCTTTGCTTAACAAGCGAAACTGAATTGAAATGCTTACAGCAATGATGACATTTCCATCGCAGGATTCCAAAGCAGCATCCAATAAATCTAGCTTTTCTTTCTTACTTCGATACAAGTCTAATGAAACCGAATCATTTCGTAACAACCTTCGAATTGTAAGTTGAGGATCAGCTGCACGATAACGTTCTAATCTTACCTGCTAAAAGATCAAACTTTAGACAGCACCAGTTATTATCTGAAAAATTAAATAAACCAATAGAGGAAATAATTTGGGATACATCTACGAATGATGTAAGGAAACGTCATAGAAGATTTTGAGGTGATAATACAAACAAAAAAATCATAAAAATTACAAAAGCAAAGAAATACTTTCCATAAAGAAAATGATGAGATATACGTTTTTAGTTAAACTACACTAAAAAAAAAAAAGAAAACTGAGAAAAAGTAAAGCCAAAAAAAATAAAAGCCGAAAAAA